TATAGCTACTTATATCCCACCTGAGGGAAGTGTTTTTTATGATCACTGTAATGAAGATTTATTCCAAATTTTAGAAGATTCCGTTGGTAGATATAAAAGCATGGGTGATGTATATGTTATCGGTGATATGAATGCACGCACTGGAAGCAGGCATGATTATATAGAATTAGATACATTACATGATAGTTTAGTACATAATTTAGAAAATGTGGTTAATTATAATGTTGAAACTGTCAGCACTGAGCGTAAGAATATGGATAAGGGGGTAAACACTTTTGGCCGTAAGCTTATTGACTTGTGCAAGTCATCAGGTCTGCGTATAGTTAATGGGCGGCACCCAGATGACGATACTGGTACATATACATTTTTTAATAATAATGGTAAAAGTACGATTGATTACTTGTTGGTTGTAAATGCGACAATAGACAATATACTTAAGTTTGATTCTGGTAAATTTAACATGTTTTCTGATCACTGTCCAGTTGCGTTTCATATATGTATTGGCAAATTTTTAGATACTCAAATTGTAAATGAGTTGGCTGATTACAATGCCATGTACAGTAGAGGAACCTGTACGTCTGTGAAATGGAAAGGCGAGAATACTATGCTAATTTTAGATAAATTAAGTGAGAACTGTGAGTTAATTGATGAACAATTGAATGTTGATTTAAATAACCAAGATGCAGTTGATGAATGTGTGAAAAATTTAAGTAGAATATTAAATGATTGTACATTACCTTTTTGTGAGTGTAGAGATACCCCTCTGAGAAACTCCCGCGATCACCGCACTAAAACTGTTGTTATTGAAGATAAACCGTGGATAACTCCTCGGTGCAAAGATCTATATACTGAATACAGAAATTCGTTGATTAATTTTAACCGGCATAAATCAAATCAAAATTACAATATATATATTAATAACCGCCAAACGTAATTACAAAAGGTTGGTGTTTAAACTTAAAAGAGATTATAAACGATATGAAGGCGACATGCTGGTCCTTTTGAAAAGAAATGATCCAAGAAAATTTTACAGTATCTTTAATAATCGGAAGTCGAACAGAGCTATGAATACACTCACAATAGATGACTTCTATAGACACTTTAAATATCTGGCGCAAAAGGAGAATGATGGCGCTGACCAACATGTTCCTAATGTTAATATAGAGTCAGTTTATGAAGATCTTGATTCTAATATCACAACAAAAGAAATTGTTAAAGCCATTGAAAACCTGAAATCAAACAAAAGTTGTAGTGAAGACTTAATCATAAACGAAATTTTTATTCAAGGAAAGCATATTCTGGTGCCATATTTGGAACGGTTGTTTAATGCTATTTTTAGATCTGGGTTTTTCCCTGAATCTTGGTCACAAGCATGTATTGTTCCTGTTTTTAAGAAAGGCTGTATTAACGACACTAATAATTATCGTGGTATATCACTTGTAAGCTGTTTTGGTAAATTATTTACATCAATCTTGAATAATAGAATTATGACATGGGAAAAAGAAAATTGTATAATAACAGATGCTCAGTTTGGTTTTAGAAAAGGCAGTTCAACCATTGACGCCATATTTGTTTTACAAACATTAATTAACAAGAAATTGCGTAAAAAAGAGAGACTTTACTGTTGCTTTATAGATTTAAAAAAAGCATTTGATTTTGTTAATAGAGGAAAACTGTGGAGTAAATTAATACACCAAGGTATTCGTGGAAAATTTTTAAAAATATTATTATCTTTGTATGATAATGTCAAATCCTGTGTAAAATTTGAGGGTCAATTAAGTCATTGTTTCCCTAATTATACCGGTCTCTTACAAGGGGAAATATTGTCACCTGTGTTGTTTTCTTTGTATGTGAATGATTTTGAAATTAATTTTATTAATGATAATTGTCCAAGTATTGATTTACAGATGCTTAACCTTTTCCTGCTAATGTATGCTGATGATATGGTTTTTTTCGCTGATAGTCCAGCTGCATTGCAAAACATGTTAGATTCTTTACACAGTTACTCTAGAAAATGGGATCTGGAAGTCAACATTGATAAAACAAAAGTCATGGTTTTTAGAAACGGGGGAAACATAAGAAATAATGAAGTGTGGAAATATAATAATGAGAACATAGAAATTGTTGACTGTTTCAAATATTTGGGAATGTTTTTTAATTATAATGGTAAATTTTATAAAACCCAAAAGCATTTAGCGGACCAAGGAAGAAAGGCTTTATTTTCATTATCATCCTCTTTAAAGAACCATTGTTTGAATTTGGAAACCCAATGCTCTGTCTTTGATATTTATGTCAGCAGCATCTTAAGCTATGGTGCAGAAATATGGGGGTTTCACAAAGCTCCTGATATAGAGAGAGTTCATTTGAATTTCTGCAAAAAAGTCCTTAGAGTATGTAAATCTACATTCAATGATTTAGTTTATTGTGAATTGGGTAGACTACCATTAATTGTTACAAGAAAGCTAAAAGTATTCAAATATTGGTTGAAGTTGACGAAATCTGATAATTTGATATTAAAAACTTGTTATGATGAATGTGTCAACGTGAATGATCCGTGGATTTGTAACATTAAGAATGAATTAACTGCCCTAGGTCTTGGTTATATTTTTGAATCGAATCTACCATTGGTAAACACTTTTGAAATTATTGAACACAGATTGAAAGATGTTACTAAGCAAAATATGTTGGCAAAGATAGCAGCTTCATCAAAAGGTAGACTATATCAATATCTTATAGACAGTCATAGTATTCAGTTTTATCTCCGTAAACATATTGAAACAAAATACAAATATATGTTAACTAAATTTAGAACGTCGTCTCATCAACTGAATATCGAAAAGGGTAGACACAATAATATCATTCGCAGAAATAGAAACTGTAGCAAATGTGATTTGGGAGACGTCGAGGACGAATTTCATTTCATTTTTGTATGTCCTTTTTATAATGATTTGAGGTTAAAGTATATAAAGAAGTATTATTATAAGAGTCCCTCTGTTTACAAACTTGTCCAACTTTTATCTGTAAATAATGTCAAAGAGTTGTCAAATCTAGGTTAATATTTATATCTAGCCACTAAGCGGCGAAATTGATTAATTAGCTACAAGTATTTATAATTTTTGTGCTTTTGTATTATGTTCTTTGTGTAGTTTACACTTGTATGCTTATAGTCACTCTCCTATAACATATATACATGTACAATGTATCATGATTACTTTGTACCTATAAGTCTTAAGACTTTTGGTGAATAAAGAATTTGAACTTGAACTTGAACTACTTATACTCTAAAAAATAGGGAACTAATCTTCCATTGTCAGGACAGTGGTCAAGGCTCACCGGACTGACTCTACGTTATCTTCTTATTGTTCCAATGTCACGGTGTGGTGATCATGATTATCCTGTCATTTTGGAGAGGATTATACCATCTGTTGGAATTAGGTATATAGGTAAAGTGTTATTTCAAAGGTAGGGTCTATTTCATGATAGATATACATGTATTCTCACCGGTGGTTTCAAGTACACATGTAAACCAGGATTATACCAATTAAAAAATATAAATTTCAAACATTTCAAAGGCAATGAAAATGAAGCACCCTCATTAGCATCACTTCAGCAGGTGATTAATAACCAATGTTAACATAAAAGCCTGGCGTGTACATCCTTTTCATTAGGTGTTGCCCCTGTACATATGTATGCATACTATTTCGCAATAAAAGACAAACAGTTAAATCATAATTCATATTTATGACAATTTTCTTTTTTTTTTAAATTGCCACAATGCGCGCATTAGCAGCTGAATCTACAGAAAGCACCTAAATTTTGACAAGTGGTCATTTCAAGGGCCTGACACAAACATCAACATTTTAACCAAAACACTACATTTTTACCACTTTTCTTACTGAACTTTGTAACACTCGCCCAGCTTGGTCTTCATAAATATAAATACTCTACGTAATAAAATATAACCTGGAATAATAGCGCAAACTCAGAAAACTGTTCTACGCCTCACTCGATTTGTTTGTCAATGGAAATAATGTCCGACAAATTCTTGCTTTTTACGATCGGTAGTGCTTGAAAAAGTTAAGTATTACATCTACAATGCAGAAAAAATAAAATCGACTCGCTTCGCTCGGCGGTAGAAGTTTACTTGTCACAATCACAGCAAAAAAAATCTATATCTTTTTGGTGCCAGAAAGTAGTATACATGAAGAACCGACACGACAATTATAATTTATTAGTTTAAGATAAGTTCAAAAATCTGACTTATTCTCAGTTTAAAATGTAGGCAACACCCAAATTTAATTTCTGGGTCCCCCTCTGACACTGACTGAGAAACGCCACCGTACCCCGTCTTTACTGTCACACAAAGCACAGGTTTAATGATGTCTTTTATTCAATTTCCATATAAAATAGTTTGTAGTTGAATAAATAACTTCATTGTGCTTTTTTTTTTTCATGTGTGTAATACGATAACGAAAATAACACAAGTACAATCAATATGCCTAATCTAATTTTAAGTTATATGAAACGAAGTATTACTTTTAACTGAATAGTATGAGGGAATATCCCTGTATAAATTGTGGAAGATGGTCACCTGTCAACATGTTAATACGCTCTGACGGGTACATAAAGTGAAACCGTTTACCTCCTCAGGACTGGTGATTTGTTGTAGATACATAATGCTCAACTTTCCATAAAACTGGATTTTTGAAAGGTTCATTGGCTTTTCTAACAAATGTCACCAGAATATAATTGAGACGTTTTATAAAAAATAATGTGGTATTTCAGTACGCTTTTAACGACCTGTACAATTTTACTTATATGTAAATTAGTTTTTTTGAGCGAGATTTGCCGATTTATATTGACACTTACGAACACCCGAATTGCTTGGATGGTTTTTATGATCGTTGTTAAGGCAGTCATATCACATGATGTGTCATACAATATCTTACCCTTAAGCATTTTATGTACTGCTTGTCACGAGATAGGACTAATGTAAATGAGTAAAACACCCACCTGGATAACAGCGAGCGCAGGTACGTACATTTTTTCTCAATGTTTCTTTTAAAAGAAGTCGAAGTAATTTAAATTGTATTTAATATGCAGATTAGCTTAAACATATTCATTTCAAAGTAAGGCACATGTTAAGAATGACAAGCGGTATGGCAAGGATAAAAAATGCAGTGTACTTTTTACTTCCTGTAAAACACATTGCTAAAGACGAAGTGACGCAAAAACCTGAAATTGTAATTCACTGGTGATTAGAAAAGGAGTAAAATACTCAGAATAGGGCAGAATAAAACGTAAAGGGGTAAAATAAAACGTCTAGGAGTAAAATAACCTGGAAAGGAGTAAAATTTTACCCCATACGTTTTATTTTATCCCTATCCGGGTTATTTTACCCCCTTGGCGAGATAAAGTACTCCTTTCAGAGTTATTTTACCCCATGGCGAGTTAAAGTACACCTAGATTATTATTTTACCCCCCTGACGAATTAAAGTATTCCTAGATTATTATTTTACCCCCCTGATAAGTTAAAGTACTCATATCTAGGTTATTTTACCCCTCTAACGAATTACAGTACTCCTGGATTATTATTTTACCCCTAGACGTTTTATTTTACTCATTAGACTTTTAAAGTACTCGTGGCTTTTTATTTTACTCGTGGCTTTTTATTTTACCCCCTTTATTTACCTGTGCTCCACGGCAACAGGATCTGCGCTGGCGGTTAGCTAGGCCTTTGACCTAACCGGGTAGTAGCCTGTCGACCACTTCGAGCTGCCGCGGGCGGTGTCAAGCATCACCAGGTAGCTCTGTCCATGTGTGAACACTTGTCAGTTGACAGCTCGCCTCATAAATAACAACGTGTCTGTGCTTTGTTCACCTATGTTTATTTGGTGTAATCAGAATAAAACTATGGAACTGTGCCGTGTTTGTAATTTACTTCAACTTGAAACTGGTGTTTTGGAATACGTGTTTGATACATACTCGATTTATGTCAAATTAAACTTTGAAAATGTGCCGTGTTTGTTACATACTCGAACAGCGCCGTTGAAATACATGTTTAAAACTATGGAATTGAGCCGTGTTTGTAATTTACTTCGACCTGGTGTTTTGAAATACGTGTCTGTAACATAATCGAACTGTGCCGTTAAAATACATGTGTATACACTCCATTAATATGTCAAATAAAACTATGGAATTGTGCCGTGTTTGTAATATACTTCGGCCGTGTCTGTTGAAATATGTTTGCTTATTACTCGATTTGTAATAAAAATATATTTAAATACATTTATCGTGTTTGTACTTTATTCGGCCTGATGATCTAAAATACGTGTTTATTAAACACTCGATTAATATGTCAAATTAAAACTATAAAACTGTGCCGTGTTTGTAATTTACTTCGACCTGGTGTTTTGAGATACGTGTTTGTTACATACTCGAACTGTGCCGTTGAAATAATACACTCAACAAATATGTCAAATAAAACTATGGAATTGTGCCGTGTTTGTAATTGATATCGGCCTGGTGTTTTGAAATACATGTTTGATGTTTTATACACTTACTTTGTCAAAATAGAACTATGGATTTGTGCCGTGTTTGTTATTTATATCGACCTGGTGTTTTGAAATAAATGTTATATACATTCTCGATTAATATGTCAAATTAAACTATAGAAACTGCGGTGTTTGTAATTTACTCCGACTTGGTGTTTTGAAATTCGTGTTTTAAACACTTGATTAATGTGTCAAAATAATACTGTGCCGCGTTTGTAATTTACTTCGACCTGGTGTTTTGAAATACGTGTTTATAACACACTCGAACTGTGCCGTTGAAATAATACACTCCATTAATATGTCAAATTAAAACTATAAAACTGTGCCGTGTTTATAATTTACTTCGACCTGGTGTTTTGAGATACGTGTTTGTTACATACTCGAACTGTGCCGTGTTTGTAAATTACTTCGACCTGGTGTTTTAAGATACGTGTTTGTTACATACTCGAACTGTGCCGTGTTTGTAATTAGCTTCCATCTGGGTTTTTTAAACATTCTCGAACTGTGCCGTGTTTGTTAATTACTTCGACCTGGTGTTTTGAAATACGTTTTTGTAACATAATCGAACTGTGACGTTAAAATAATGTTTTATACACTCCATTAACATGTCAAATAAAACTATGGAACTGTGCTGTGTTTGTAATTTACTTCGGCCGTGTCTGTTGAAATATGTTTGCTTATTAATCGATTTATAATAAAAATATATTTAAATATATGTATCGTGTTTGTACTTTGTTCGGCCTGATGATCTGAAATACGTGTATATTAAACACTCGATTAATATGTCAAATATAAACTATAAAACTGTGCCGTGTTTGTAATCTACTTCGACTTGGTGTTTTGAGATACGTGTTTGTTGCATTCTCGAACTGTGCCGTGTTTGTAATTTACTTCGACCTGGCGGTTTTTAAAATGTACGTGTTTATAACATACTCGAACTGTGCCGTGTTTGTAATTTACTTCGGCCGTGTCTGTTGAAATATGTTTGCTTATAACTCGATTTGTAATAAATATATTTATATATAAATTTGTCGTGTTTGTACTATATTCGGCCTGATGATCTGAAATACATGTTTATTAAACACTTGTGTAATATGTCAAATTAAAACTATAAAACTGTGCCGTGTTTATAATTTATTTCGACCTGGTGTTTTGAGATACTTGTTTGTTACATACTCGAACTGTGCCGTGTTTGTAAATTACTTCGACCTGGTGTTTTGAAATACGTGTTTGTAACATTGTCAAACTGTGCCGTTAAAATCCATGTTTTATGCACTTCATTAATATGTCAAATAAAACTATGGAATTGTGCCGTGTTTGTAGTTTACTTCGGCCGTGTCTGTTGAATATGTTTGCTTATTTCTCGATTTGTAATAAAAAATATATTTAAATAAATTTGTTGTGTTTGTACTTTATTCGGCCTGATGATCTGTAAAACGTGTTTATTAAACACTCGATTAATATGTCAAATTAAAACTATAAAACTGTGCCGTGTTTGTAATTTACTTCGATCTGGGGTTTTTTAAACACACTCGAACTGTGCCGTGTTTGTTAATTACTTCGACCTGGTTTTTTAAAATGTACGTGTTTGTAACATACTCGAACTGTGCCGTGTTTGTTAATTGTAAATGTATATATAATAAGGTTGAAGACAGGACGAAGACCGAATCGATATATACGTTAAAAATTACATCGGAGGGCGGTTCTATTATGGCAGGGACGTACGACGTTTATATAAGATATGCATTTAGCTTAACGGTTACACTAGAGACATATAGTATATACTTCTCTGGCTACACAGAATCAGAGACGTATATATTACAGAGACGTATATTTTACAATCTCTGTAATATATACGTCTCTGATAGAAAGAAAACTCACTATAAATTACGTGATTTAAAACAAAATAATATGACGTTAGCGCTAGTTTAAAGATTCATATATTTGCAATGTACTGTAGTGTTCTAAAATCTGCTGATAAATTGCATCAGAGACGTACATATGTAATATATAAGTCTCCGATTGCATTTGTTCCTCCTATATGTTTACATGTATATTTAATACCCATGAAGCAATGTCATATCATCACTACCATTACTACAAAAATAACTTTACTGTAGAATTCAGATTTTTTTTAAAAAAAAAACTAATATCGTATATTATACCACGGACTTAGATCTACTCTAATTCGTTTTGAATTCGTAAATGTTTTCTTCCAACACTGGAAACAAAAAGAAACGCACCGGTACACCATACTACCTGTGTTAGTTGGAGGATCGGTTGTAAATGCCCTTTGGCCACGACATTCACAGGTAACACCTCTGAGGTAATTAGTTCACCTGTTAACTCACAGGTAGGTATCGTAAATGCCCTGTTTGACTCTATAGTATTTGAAATATGTCTTCTTTTCTGCTTATATTGATCGTTTATCCCCAAATATTAGCCAAAATACCGAAATGTCCCTTTCAGGGTACAGTCACGCCGGTTTAGGGCCTACGTTACCCTGATGGTATTTCGCGTTTTATTTATAGAACCTCGGAATTAGATTAGAAACCGTGATAGAACCACGCACCAAAATATCAACTAAATTGTATGTACCCTGGCAATTATATACCTGTTGCTGCTAAACAAAATTAAAAAGAAAGTCATGAAAAATATCCCGCTTGCGTCCCAATATAAGCACACACAAATGACCGTGCCTCGTTATTGCCTCGCATCACTTCACGCGATTTCCTGCAGTAAATCAAATCCAATTAAAACAACCCTTTCCCGACCCTAGCTTACCTTATTGTTCTCCACAGAGCAACCCTCGGAATAAGACAATATCGCTATAATTGGATAATAGGCAATTTTGATATTAGACGGGAGTCATTGTGTTTCCAGGTGACCTTGTGAAAACTCAGGTGAGTTCAAATACATGACCTTGCATCGGAAATGCATTCAGCCGTGACATCGTAAACGTAGTACACAAGCGGTGTCCGGGGGCTAAATTTACCTGTAACAGTTGCTCTAGAAACAGTTATCGCCAACGGTTTTTTCTATTGTCGACAGTAATTTAAACAAAAGCCCCACATCGACATTTTCGCCAAGAGCAGTTTCAAATCGCCAATCACGTTTTACATTCGCCAGTGTCGATCGCCAGCGCGAGCCCTGGACTATATGATACCACGGACTTAGATCGAATATAAATCTGTAATGATGCACATACATTTTTACCTTATTAGATTTACTTAAATACATTCAAAAACATATTTTCTTCCATAACTGGAAACAAAAAGAAACGCGACGGTACACCATTCTACCTGTGTTACTTGGAGGATCGGTTATAAATGCCCTTTGGTCACGACATTCACAGGTAACACCTCTGAGGTAATTAGTTCACCTGTTAACTCACAGGTAGGTATCGTAAATGCCCTTTGGCTATAGTATAAAGTGGTAAGAACTACAGGTAATTAACATACCTTTTATTTCACAGGTAA